TGAACTTGGTCCGTAACTGCGTAGACAATTAGGAATGCGCACGTTCACAATGTATATATAGTAGCGTTGAGAAATAATCATCGATAAACAAACGCCTCAGCAAATATGGCGACTAAAATGGACATATCTCAAAACACACGGGGCAGCGTTGCTAGACGGAGCTCGGAGAGATTGGGGTTTGAGATACACCATTTTTTTTCAATTTCCTGCTTGACATGAGATAAGATTAAATTATAGGTGACCTTTAAAACTAAAACTCCTGTCTGGATGTCGGAATAAGACTCCAAATATCAGACTGTTTACCTCAGTGATATTTTATGGAGACGTCACTGCAAGGTCACAGGGAACCAGACCAGAATGATTAGGCTATGAATTTTTTGGGGGAAGAAAGTTGGTCTACTAGTGGTGCTCGCTGGTAAGTAGTGCTGGTAAGTCTGCGCGTGTTGCGTCAGCTTTTATACCATGCCGTATTTGAAAAGCTGCGTTGACGCAATTCTGACGTAATTCTACAAGCTGCCAGATCGAGAGGCTCTGCATGCCTATGGCAGGAGCAAATAGTAAACACTGATAAACTGGGCCAATGAAACTTAGTTTCCTTACAAGTACAGTATACAGTACAATATGCTGATGCAATGTATCTCAGGTTATAGTTCGGGCGTGGGCAAGCCCAGATTTCTTATAGTCCGTGGGCTACGAGGGGTCCACATGCACCCTCCCACAACTTGACTTCCTTGTTATGTTGTTATGCACCTGGCCGTACTGCATTAGAAAAGTGGCGTTAACATGAATTTAAGTGGTACAAAATGTCCACTTGAGGGAGATATATACCCCTACATTAGGGCAGAAAATTAGGGGTAGAGAAATGAAACTGGTCCAACCACAGATTCAACTTCTGCCTTTAACAACAAATTAGGTGTCATTTTGAGAGCTACTTAGGTCTCTTATATGAGGGTGTGAAGCAATGACAGATATATCCCTTGGTTATGCAAATATAGGTCAAAAGGTCCGGCATACTCCAATGAAATTGAAAATTGTGACTTTCAAAACTCCACACACTGCTGTGGCCATACCAATGAAAGATATTCACTGAAGTTTGAACATAATTTAAGGTTAAACCAATAATGTTTTTGAAAACAAATGTATTCCAGAAAAGTGTGCAGTTACCAAGATAAGCCTCTTCGTTTCAGAAATAAAAACACGTTATTACCCCGAAATGCATATTTTACGTCATATTGTCAGTGCTCTCCTGAGAAATCCCTGAATAGTTTAACCTGCTATGTAATTACCTGTACTATTCACTCCGACTGAACTGTTGTCTTTATGAAATGATCCTCAGGTGATTAGCAGCCACTCTCACTGTCCATCTCGTCACTGTCTTCCTCAGTATCACTGTCCGTGTCATTTCCATCTTCAATCACCATGTCTGATTCAGGATGATGAAACTGGCACATTCTCACATTCAGTCACCAACTAGTGCATTCCTTTTGACTTGTCAGGTTTGAACATGAACCTATCAGCCAGTGAAAGACTGGAGGGGACAGGTGTCAGCTTGTTCGTCATTAATTCTGCAAGGTTCACCTTGTCCCCTAGCAACTTCTGAGATTTCACAAGCAGTTGGAATTCTATGTTGGGCGTGCATGTATTGGACCTCTTTGTTAGTCGACATCTTTAACCTCACTGTCTTCTTCATACTTCCGAAGGTCTTGAGCTTTAGTTTCTTGATCGGATCAAAGAAGCCAGTGCCTTTCTGCAGTCCTTCAGTAATAAATGCCCGCTTTGACCCAAGAGTTCCTTTCTCTGCACGAAGAATGTCTATGGTAATATCTGGTGTTACAGATACCCAGGATGATATGCGTATACTCGATCCTTTGTCGGTATCACCTTCATCATCTCTCGTCATATCAGCCATCCCATATGCTGCTTTGAGATACTTAGCTCTCCCCTTGGCTGTTTTACACCACCTCCGATAGGCATCATAGTTGGTCTCTACACCGGTTAGTCAGGTGTGTTTATCACGTCAAGCCACAGAACTATCCACAGGAGATTCGCATGCAGGCTCGCTCGCATCTTCAGGATCATCATCATCATCATGGCAGTTTGACCAATGACGTATGTGGGACTCTTACGGTTTCCCACATTGATATCGGGGAGAGTGTCAAGGACAGAGCCCGGTTCTGTCCTTGGAACCTGTGTAACCTGAGGAACAGAACCACCGACATTCTCCACACCGACATTCCGCACAACGAAACAGATGTCTCAGACTCATGCCAAGGATGGTGTGCCTGGGAAGTATCCAACTTCCACTTGTCATAGTGCAACCTATGTCTTGCCCAATTGAATTAATCAGGCGATCAACCTTTGTTGATTGTACGTTGTAAAGTAGCCTAAGAAATTGCTAGAGCTTCTGAGGAAGTTTCACAGGAGTACTCTCCAAGGAGTCGACAATAGGTGGCCATTGAAGCTCATCACGTGCTTGATGTGCCATTAACACGTCCCCTCTCAGAGCACCCGCAACATCTGCTGTCTTGTATGAACATCTCAGCAAGTAGCTAGATTTAACATTTTATTACTGTAGACCAGGTATGACTTAAACCTCCCTTCATTTCCTATTTGACGAAAGCTGATGATACCTGAGAAGTGCGAACATTTCGTCATTGTAGCTTTGAGCTTGTCACTCCAGTGGTTTGGGTTAACATGAAGGGCTGCTGGTAACTCAGCAATGTATATTGCGTTGAGATCGCTCAACTTGACAAAGTATTTTGTTGATAACTTCTTGGAAAATCATCTGGTATACTTTGTTGAATACCACAATGTGGGCTTCAGAAACACTGGCTTCCTCTCTTACATGATACTCATCTTTGCTTCTCCATTTGGCTGGATTCTGGGGATACTAGGTGCAACAAGATGGATGAAACTGTGCTTGCATGCAAATAAATCAAAGCCGCTTATTCTACATAGAAGTTTCTGATCATGTTTTTCCTCAGCTACTCTAAGGACATTTACAGCACTACCTTTATCAAAGTTCGACAGTCCTTCTATTTAATGTTTCGGTTTCTCCTTTCTTCACCTTCTTCCTCGCCGCACAGTTGCAGAAAATACAATCTGGATCGAAATTGATGTTGTCCTTCCAAGCTAAATCACGCCTACCCTGTCTCAACTGCGGAGAATTCTGTGGGTTAGTATCCTGAGAAGGAATCAAGCGAATGAGATTACCAGTGACACGGTGATAGCAGTCACGATGGTAACCATATAAAGGGGACAAACGGTCAGGAATTTGATCAAACATAGCGTCCATGCGATTAGCGGAGGCAGCAGGTTGTGATGTACGGTCATCCCTGACTTTCTGAAGGTATTTCATTCGAGCTTCAGGGTCATTCACTTCACAGATAAATGTGAAATTTCACAACTTGATTCTTTTTAGTGCAGAACACAGACGCCTGTTTCATTTCTTTGTTCGGTGGCCTCTAAGCTTCGTTTTATTCTGCGACAAAACATGATTCACCATCAGTCAGCGGACAGCCTGAAAAAGAAAACAGGATTACCAACTTACTGTGAAGTCCCTAGAGGGTGAATTTCACTTTGCAGATTGAAAGCACCTCTGTCGAAGGACCTCTACTAACTTGTTCTGGTAGAGGAATTTTTTATGGGAGATCTGCACAATCACCATCTGGTGATCAGTTGAAAAGCAAACTACAGTTGACTTCCCGATTTCAGTGCCCCAACGTGTTTTCAAGAGGTACGTTACCCAAAAATGCCCAACTTTTCGGGCTGTCGCAATTGTTTAAAGAATTTTGTTAATTACATTTACTAACTAAACCTGATATATAAGAAAAAGAAATATCAGTTTATCCTCTAAATCTTAATAGCAATCATGGTCCATGTCGAAATGGGCAAAATACTTACAAGGTTTGAGACAGAAATTCACAAAAGCGAGCAAATTTACTGGGGGCCACCATTTTCTTGTACGGCTCAAATTCGATGCACCTTCTTTCGGAGCTCAAATGTTTCCTTATTTATTGCCATTGTAATGGTTGTCCAATTGCGATTGATTTAAAAATAGTTTTATCCAAAGTTATTCTCTTACCTGAAATTTTCCAGAATTTCAAAACACATGAAGAAGAGCGTTGTGTTATCTTTGTTCAGGGGCCATTTTTGTCGCTACCCAGTCTTTATTAACCGTTTAAGACGACCACATGACATATTCTGCACCAATATGAACGGTGACACTGTCTAAGGTATTTATTAGTTGGCTAAAGCTACTTTGGGGATTTCTTAGGAGAGCACTGACAATATGCATTTCGAGGTAATACCGTGTTATTGTTTTTGAAAAGAAGGGGCTTATCTTGGTAACTGCACATATCTCTGGAATATGTTGATTTTCAAAAACATTATTGGTGTTAACCTTAAATCATGTTTAAACTTTATTGAATGTCTTTCATTTCACTGGGATATAGTCACAGAAGTGTGTGGAGTTTTGAGAGTCACAAACTTCAACTTCACTTGAGTATGCCTGACCTTTTGATTTGCATAACCAAGGGATATATCTGTCATTGCTTCATTGCACATGGGACCTAAGCAGCTATCAAATGACACCTAATTTGTCCTGATAGGCAGAAGTTAAATGTGTAATTTGACCAGTTTCATTTCCCCTACCACTAATTTCACGCCCATTTCCTGCGATAATGTCAGGATATGAATCTCAATCAAGTGGATATTTTGTACCACTTAAATTCATGCTAACGTAATTTTTTTTTATGCAGTAGGGCCTGGAAGAAAACAATATACCAATGAAGTCAAGTTGTAAGGGCGTGCATGTGGGCCCATCGTAACCCGCGGACTATTGAGTTTGAGCTCTTCGACACTTTCATGCCCTTGAAACAGAATACCCAATTTCCGTTGCTTTTTATTTCTCCCTTTGTGCTATCCAATAATGTGACTTTTCAAATGAAATACACAACTTCTCAAGAAAGCGTCTGCGTTGATTACTACCTTTTTTGCAGGCTGATCAAGATGTCTAGTCCCAACCTCAATGATCTCATCATTGTTGGGTGCATCATGACCTACATGACTGCGATCTTGTTGGGAGTAGACGCCAGACTACTTACTGACTGGCAGCTGCGGATTATGTGCCGGGTAAGTATTAACGACGATTCCTGTGAAATATCAATCAAATAGTTTGGATATTGAAGGTACCGAAGCTTTCACGTGGAAACATTCAGTTTTCCATTTATTCTTACCAACCAAATACATCAAGGTTTATGTGATTAATACAGCATCGTGGGGGTAAGCGTTGTAGATAGTGGCGTATCAATGGGCACCATGCTCAATGAGTCACCCATGCCGCTATTAATGCATTACACATACACCGGGCATCTTCGAGCTCATTATTCCTCTAACTCATTAAGTTTGTCTTCCTGGCAGTTACACCCTATATCTGGCCGCTGATTGGAGGGATCTTGAAAAAGTGCAATATACTTATGTAAATTGCTACCTTTGTCTCTGGTAATTCATTATTGGTGACTTCGGGGCCTTCAAACCTTTAGTGGCACATTGGGAGAATTTGCAGAGTTGTACCGGATATAATATCCGAAATTACCCGACACTTTTTTCTGCTGATGGTTCTTGGTTTCTTCATTTTTTGCTAGTTTTTCTGATTAATTACAAGCCAGTCGGTGATCAGACCTCACATACGTTTTCAGTGAGCTACGTGTTGGATTTATCGTTGTAGACTACTACAATCTAGACACTGGCAGTGTTTCACTTAGGATGTATCACGAAAGATACACATTTAGTCGTCTGTAAATTACAAAGATGTCGTAAATTACAAAGTCACCTCTAAAATCCCCGAAAGTCAAATAGACCCAGAATCTAAAGTGGATTTGTTCAGTGCAAATATAATTTGATTTGGAAAAGTAATGTTATTTTTACACGTTAAATTTCTGAGTAAATGTGGATTGATATTCTAGATCATTCTGACCCAGAAAGTTTTGCAGTTTGTTCTTGATTCCTCCGAAATTGGAACTAAATGATTTTAATACTGAACTCTGCTTGGTGACGAGGACTTCAAGAGTACGTTTGTCTCGAGCTTGATTTTATTTAAGCATAAACAACGGCACATTAAGCCACTCAAATACCCCCGAAAAAAGCTTTCTTTCAAGAGTCGTGCTGAGACATACATTCCAAAGACCAAAGTGAAAGAAGGCTTTTTCAAGTTACCCCTACAGTGAATAATAAAATATAGGCCTACTTGCTAAGCTTCATGATACTTGTATTCATACTGCATTCCTCCGGGGAATGGCAGCACAGCGGCCCCGAAAAGATGGCTCCTCCCCACCGTCTGAAATCATTTTTGGGCTCCATGGGTGTCAGTAAATCGAAGTGTATAAAGCTCTACGGGAGCTGACGCTTCGGCAATTCATGTTGCGTCTGTGAGTGAGCATCGTTTGGACAGTTATCACAGTTTGCCCTGGATAAACAGCAGCCAATTTCCCAGGACTTTCAGACCAGATTTAGTGTGCACATTAACGTTCACAGTTTGAGGTCAGAAACAACAATCCAAGGTCTGCTACCTTGTGTATTCATGAAATACATGACCTGGCCCGTCGTCATGGGGCTCCTCCCCGCTCTCCCCGACAAGCAGCTCCCCTACACTGAGGCTAAATAATGAGCAAACCCTGCATTATATCGCTGATGCTCACACAAAGTGACAAAATCTCCCTGTCATGCAAAAGAGACCTCCAAGAAAGCAGCGTTTTAAAATACGGCATATTTCATCCCACATTTTGACCACTTTTGTTTACGAACTAGGAAATTTTTTACAAGTTAGGCTTGAAAATGGCTAATCCACACAAATTTGTAAATTGGTTGTTTGATAAAATAGTAATTAATCAACAAAGGTTTTTTATACTGCGTACGATTGTAAAAACTGGAGATCATAACTTTTCTCCATTGCACTGTACAGAGTTTTTGACACTTCGTGATAAATAAGACCATGAATGCGCAAAAAATTACACTGTCGCCCTGTCTTATCGGGCTCTAATCGACTCTAAAAAATCATTTTTATACCACTTTGTCAAAAAACATAATATAAACTTACCGCCACCTCGTAAAAATGTCGTTCAAAATTGGAGCTAGTACGAGCGATTCAAGCGAGCAAACAAGAATGTAAAAATCTCGCGAGACAGTCGTATCATCAGCTTTTAAAAATAGCCCAAGACAACTACAAACCCTTTACAGCCACTGGCGCAAAGGGCAACGTACTACGAAAAGACCTCAATCACCGCAATTAAAGCTTACACTAAACCAGAAGCTATCGCAGAGGTAACATCCGAGAATAAGAAGATTTAAAGGTAACTACAAAAACTGGGAACTGACACCTACTTTCTTTGCCGTTGTCTTGGTTCATTTTTTCGATTTCAAAATGGAAAAGCCCGGAGTTGAAACCAAAATAGGTGTTTTCACGTTTACTAGTACAAACAACACGGTGATTTCTGAACGTGAGGTCAAAAACCTCTTGAAGGAACAAATAGCAAAACATTTGGAAGACGTCGAAGCTCACGAACAACGAGGATCTTGTTAGGGTATTTGCGAAGTTGTCGCTTTTGACTTCAACGTTGTGAGGTATAACCAAGTAGGAGCGACTTACATTTCATTGCCTAAAGAACTGATAAACAAGAAAGAGATCATCAACGTTCAACACAGAAATGACTCGGAGTGCATTCGCTGGGCGTTTAGAGCTGCTTTAAAATTATATTCTGACAACGTCAAACAAAGCTGGAAACTAACCCAGATTATAAAATAAACAACAAACGCACCTTAACGTACAGAACAGAGGACGGTTTAAATTTCACAAACGTGGACTTTCCCACACCGATTTCACAAATTCCACGCATCAAATCTCAAAACAACTGAGCAATTATAACATATTTGGTCACACGGTGAAGGACGGTGTCTATATACTTCACAAAACTAAACACATAGGCGAGCCGATCAACTTACTTTATTTTAACCGAGTGAAACGAGTCACTATTGCTAGATTAAAAGTTTATCTCAGTTGATGGGTGACGTTTGCAATCACGATGGTAAATTGTAGTGGTGTTTTAATTACTTATCCCACTTTCAAACAGAAGAAGACTCGACAAACACCAAGAAGATTGCCAAGGAATGGGTACGGCGCCTTGTAAAGTTGAAGTACCTGTAAAACGTCAACACATTCTCAAGTTTGAAAATTATAAAAATAAACAAGACGCTCCGTTTGTTATTTACGCGAATTTCGAGTCTGTTTTAGAGCGTCTTCCACCAGAATCATTAAACACAATTAAAACGCAACTTCACAGGCCCTGCGGCTACTCTTACGCGGTCGTTCGATGTGACGGTGTATGTACCAGTCGCAAAACATACAAAGGCCAAGATGCAGCCATTCATTTTGTAAAATCGTTATCGCAAGAAACAAAAACAATTAACAAAACATTTGCCGACCCGACGCCCTTTGACTGGACGCCTGAGCTCCAAAACTTCTACGATAAACGCAACTTCTGCTCGATCTGTGAAAAATCTATTTATCCAACGAGAGAATCGCAGTGTCAATGTGCTACCCCAGGTGAGCCAAAAAGTAGCTTTCAGTTTCAAAAATGACTATGGCTTCACAGAGTACAACTGCATGACCTGCGAGAAGCCCATCAATAAATTTCGCAAAGACCACGATCACTGCCACGTTACGGGTAAGTACAGGGGCCCAGCACACGCCCATGTAATCTCAAACTACGAGTCGTGCCAAAGCAAACGCCCATTTCAGTAGTGCTACACAACTTGGAGAAATACGACGCGCATCTGATTATGCAGGTTTCTCGCGTGTTCAATGGTAGTAAAATCAACGTCATCGCCCAAAACACCAAAATTACATATCCTTCTCATTTGACCAACTTAGATTTTTAGACTCGTTTCATTCTATGGCAGCTTCACTCCATCGATTGGTTAAAAAGTGTTCCCTAGCTATTTCAACCTGCTCCGTGAAAAGTTTCCAAAAAACAGGGGCTTGCTTTTAGAGAAAGGCGTTTACCCGTACGAATACATAGACTCTTTCGATCGATTTGAAGAAAATAGCCTACCCCCTCGAGACGCGTTTTAAATTCCGATCCAGAGTCAACCACGGCGAGTTTAGGCCAAGTCAAAGGCTATCGCCTGTGAATCCGTTTAATTAAAGGTTTTACGGTTTACTCGATCCCAGGGTACGTATAGAACGTGTATATGGTGCGCGTGGCTGCGTTCGACCGATTTGGTCGGCCTTGGTACGTATCCAAATTGTTTGTTTCTTTAGCCAGTTTCTAATATCCGACTTAACTCCAGTAACCCTGTCGACTGTAAAACAACTTTGAATGTTCTTTCTCCTTAACTTTATCCATAGTTGTCAAGTTGAAAAATAAAGTTAAAATTTACAGTTAAAATAAAGTTAAAATTAACCTTAACTATACCGATAAGCCAAAAAAACGACTAACGCTGTCCATCCTGAAATCCACGCAAACTAGCGAACTTTTTGGTGTCCAGAAAGAACGTAGAAATCTGACAACTTGGGCCACGGCGGCAAGGGCGTCACGCTTTTACCAGTTAACTTAGAGTAAGCGCACAACGCCTCGTCTACGTTGACAAATGTCTGCTGTCGTTTAAGAAATCTAACATGTGCACGCGCTGCGTTTCCCACTCTTGTTTCGCTTGTGCCAGTTTTTCCAGAGCTAGGTCATGTCGGTTACGTTCCTCGTCGACGTTATTTTTAGCTAAACTGTCAAATGGGGAATTGAAGCCTGTGAATGCCAACACGTTTACTATAGCTCCTCCTACCATCATTAAAGCACTTGCCATTTTTAAAATATGTATTTTAAAACATGGATCAAGAAGTTAAAAATATATTAGCTGACACCAGCGCCGATCAAACAAACATCGACTCTATGCTAGGTGACGTGCAGGCCGACGTGGATCACAACTCAGATCCAAAATGTGTTAGCAGAAATGAGGCACGAAACATTTCACAAGCATGATTTATTGGGCAAATATGAAGACCTATTCTTTGCGGCGGGTGTATCACTGATCACGATTTTATGTTTGTGATTTAGAAGTAAAAGAAGGTTAAAATATAAAGT